ATAGGTCACTTCGTTAACACCTCACTTTGAAACATCAACTCTTTACAAAGAGAGTTGCATTATACATCTACATGTAATTATATATAATATTGCGTATTCTGTATATAAGAAATGACATATAAAGAGGCTTGCATAAAAATCAAAATACTTAAACTCCAAACAGCACACAGTGAAAGGATAACCAGGTATACAGCAAATAAGTAGGTAACCAGTATTTTTCTTGCTAATTGTAGACATTATAGTCCATCGCATACTGCCAACTTATTTTTCTCATATGAAATAATTGCTTTGGTTGTAAATAATAAAATTAAATATTTTACACACCATGCAATTATATCTAGGTATGGAGGTTAAAAATCAACTGGAACCATAGATTATGAATCTTTTTCTCAAAAAGAAATGTAATCCTAATAGAAGTTCCTCCCTTTTTCTCTGCCAACTTTACCACCACACAATATGCCATAGAGAAAAAAGGGGAAGTGTCAACTTGTGTAAATTGTCCCTTATGTAATGCAAACCATCTGTTTAAAAAACAAAACAAAATGAAAAACCAAGCCACTCCCAACCATGAAAAAGAAAGAAGAGGAAATTTACTACATTGAATTGGAAGCCAAAGACCAGGACCTGCCATGTAACCATGGAGAAAATATTTACCCCTCTCCTCCCTGTATTTACCCAATTTTGCAAAATATTTGGAGAAGTATAAGTGAATAATTTGCTCTGCACATATTAGAGATTGATATTGTTGTATTCTTTTGAGCATTTCAGCTGTCTACAATGTTTCCAACCGGGTAGGAACCCAAGCAGAGAAGCCTCCTTGTTTTCAGTAACAGACAGAATAGCTCTCACACAGTGATGGCACCAGTTGTGTCTGAAGGTCCCTGAGACCCCAACCACTGGACCCTGGCAAAGTATAAGGGGACAAAGTATTGGTAGACTCTTGCTCTGTTCTCATACTCTTCTTTAGGTACCTGTTTAGGACCCTAAATGGACTCCTGCTACAAACTCTTATGACTGTTTCTGTGTTATCTTCAGTCAAATACCCAGAAAAGGAAGTATGCGTAGATAAATCTTCCTTTCCACAGTCTCTCTCTGGATAAGTCATTAGTCTATTCGGAAGCGCCGTCTGAGGAATCCTACCACATACGGTCTCTGAAACCACTGGGAGACATACACTTGACCTTCTGATGCTCTAACATGGACAGGTGAACCAGAAGCATTTGAGTAAGTTAGTTTGGTTTCCTTAGCTAAGCTGAGTGAAATAAAAAATAGCAGTATAACTAGGTATTCATCATTTTTTCTCTTTCACCGACCTCGAGGCTTGATCACACATTCCCTTCCAGCTGCAGCTGCGCTGGCTGAAGAGGCCACCATCTCCAATCCCAGCCCCCTGCCAAAGGTTACCACTGTGACCAAGCTGCTTGTTTAATCCCTTTCCAACATGTTCCCATTAAAATGAGCCAGCTTAGTTTAAGCAATTTTAACAGCAAGTCCTTGCTATCCCAGCCTGGGGAGCGCTTAAGCCAGGAGCTTGGCCAGTACGTCAGAAGCTAGAGACACAGTGAGGAGCAACTGGAGGCAGTCATCTCTTCAGCTACTTGGCCTGCAGGCAGAAGGTGGCAAGTAACCCAGCCATGAGGGGTGACCAACAGCACAACTGACTAGAGACCTGCAGTGCCTTAGATGGCACGCTGCTGAATTTGAGATGCTCTTGAAGATCTGACTTTTCAACAGTGCAGCGCATGTAACAGTATAAATGCCCCTTTGAAGGCCTCCCCAACTAGGTATCTGTAGTCAAGGTACTCAGCATCATTAGAATCATAGCATCATAGAATCACTTAGGTTGAAAAAGACCCTTGGGATCATTGAGTCCAACCATCTACCCTGTTCTACAGAGTTCTCCCCTAAACCATATCCCCCAACACCACATCTAAATGACTCTTAAACTCATCCAAGGATGGTGACTCAACCACCTCCCTGCGCAGCTTATTCCAATGCCTGACTACTACTCTTTGTGTGAAAAACTCTTTCCTAATGTTCAATCTAAACCTACCCTGTTGTAGCTTGAAGTCATTCCCTCTTGTTCTATCACTAATTTCCTGTGAGAAGAGACCAGCACCAACCTCTCTACAATGTCCTTTCAAGGAGCTGTAGAGAGCGATGAGGTCTCTCCTCAGTCTCCACCTCCTCAAACTGAACAGTCCCAGGTCCTTCAATTGCTCTTCATACGATTTATTCTCCAGCCCCCTCACCAGCTTCGTTGCCCTCCTCTGCACCTGCTCCAGCACCTCCAGATCTCTCTTGTACTGAGGTGCCCAAAACTGGACACAACACTCCAGGTGTGGCCTCCCCAGTGCTGGGTACAGGGGGACAATCAGCTCCCGACTTCTGCTGGCCACACCAGTTCTAATACAAGCCAGGATTAGTTAGCTGTGAAAATATTCCCTCTTCCTTCTCCCCCAGGTTTTCAAATTTCTCTTTTATTAAGAAACAGTATATGAAAATTTTTATAGTTCTTTGCTATTTGTGGCTGGAACTGAACTGTCCCATGGAGACTTTTATTGTTCCTATGTGCAGGTTGTTAATGCTAGCTAGTAACAGAATCATCACTAGAGAATTCCTGTCAATCAGCCATACAAAATAATTCTGAAAATGTATCAGTCCAGAAAAAAGGGCAGGTTTTCCAAAAGGACTGAGAAGATGTAGAAGTGAGGTTCCATTTTCCTAATGTCCATAAGCCAAATTTAAAACATACAATGGCATTGAGGTGAAGATGCTGGTAGTAGTGGGATCTTCAGAATTTCATGGGAAGGCTTTGCATCCAAAAGTGAACTCAGTGAAAGTGAGACATTTAACATGTTGAGAAGCTGTGCAAATTAACCTGCTCTATGTTCTCTGCCGCAGTGCTATACTTTAGCTCAGTTAACTAGCATAGGTGGCTGTACTAAAGTTTACTGTTAAAGTTTACTGGACAAATGTTTGCTAAATATCCCTGAGACTTAGACCCTAGTGCCTTTCTCACTCTTTAAATGAAGATTTAGTCCCCTAAATAACTCAGGTGCTTTAGAAAATTTTATCCAAAGCTCTTTGGTTTACAATCTACCACATCTTTGCCAGGAGGATGGATACACAGAAGGGCAAGCAGAAAAGTGGAAGAAATATGTTTTAATGGCCTGTCAAAAACATTACTTGATGTGAACATGTTATAGCTTTAAGGCAGCTACGTTTTTCATTGCTACAAGCTTTCTAGGTGTAGCTAAGCCCTTATATGCTTTTTTATTTACACTAAACTGTGAGTGAAAAGAAAAAATCCTTTGGACTACTTATCACTTTTCCTCAGCTTCTCAGTCAAATTCAGTCAAACATGCCAGGGAATCACCAAAAACAGAGCTGTCTTTTTCCACTGGCTTCTGCTCAGTCCTAGACCTTGGCATGCTGTTGATTCCAAGCCTTACTGCCAGGAGCAGCAGCAACTTTGCTCTTTTTTCCTTTTCCATTTTCAAGGTTACACAAACACGCGACATCATATGTGCTTCACGGATGTGAGGAACTATAGGACTGCCTTACGATTAATGTGCACGCAGTAAAAAGAAGGGAAAAAACCAACCCCAACTCTCTCTATCCAAACCAGCATTCGTTAACGTGGGACTAATTTAATCTGCCAGATGTATCTAACGGGGTGCTTTCCTGACCTTTTCCAGGCCTACAGTTATGGTACCATTCATATTCAGCGTGGCTTTCAGTTAAACGTTCTGAAATGTGAAATCACTACTTCTCCCATTTGAGAAAGACTTAAGTGTGAAATCACTGGAAGAAATGAATGAGCCTGTGCTTCGGCACTGCAGCTGCTGAGGGACGTGAAGTGTTTTGAACAGTAATTTTCAGTAGTGGTCCCAGTCTGTAAAGTATTAGGAGAAGGGATTAGTGGCCAAAGAAACTCAAGTTCACATTCAAGTACTGTATCTACAATGTTACGGAAACTGAAAGAAATCTGAAATTGTAGGCTAAGCCAGTTTAACTAAAGCAATCTTTTTATGTCCTAATTTTACAAAACTGCTGCAGTGGCAAGTGCTGAGTAACTCAAAACATCTGATGTGTTCGTGAGTTAGTCAATGATACAGATGGATACACTGACATGGCCATAATAAAGCTAAATATCCGTGCTAGAGACAGAGAACTGTAGAACAGGCAAGTCCTCGATAACTCAGTAGGAAACCGATGTCAGAAGAGTTACACAAGCACAAATGCACGAAAACAAGTCTATGAAATCCTTGCTGTAGCTAAGACTATTCACGGAAACGGAGTTCCTTGATTATTCTTTAACTTGTATTTATTATCATCCTGTTGACAGGAACACAAAATCCTACAGCAGGCTTAAATAAAATTGCCAAAAAAAATCTGGGGAGTGTAGAGAACAATACAAATCTTTCAAAGATTAAGAAGCAGATGCTGTATTTTTTAGTATTAGGATCTCATAAATATACCCGTAGTTTGTATTAGTCCATCAAACTGAAAGGCATATGCTATCTTTGATCTCTGTGCAGAACCCCCGTTGAGATTAATGTGAGTTCTGTGTGAAGAAAGAGACTAGAATAGGCCCTCAGTTCACAAATAGCAAGCAAGCTGCTTCAGGAAAAAGGAAAAAAAAAAAACCCCACATTTTCTTACAACAGTGTTGAAATTTATTGGAAAGTTTCAAACAGCTTCTCTTCAGATGTATGTATGTATGTGTGGTCATGAGTATGCTCACTTGTCAAAAAGATCTGTCAGAAAGAAGGTGCACAAATCTACTCATGTGAAATGTTTTGCTGTTACGTTGAAACACGTACTTCATCTCTGACAATCTCTTCTCATACGACAGTGACTAATTCTCTATTTTACTCTCATCTGTGCATGTTAATGCCTTTGTCCATAGGGTGAGAGAGGTGATGCTTTTATATAGATTGGCACGAAATTGTGCCCTATACCCACTTCCAGCTAAAAAAATCTACAGGACTTACTGCATCCCGCTTTGTAGCTGAAACCAGGAGGAAGAAGGAATCCTTGCTGTGCAGCTGCTGCTAGGGTTCGTTGGTCTGGAGGGAATACGGGAATCATTAATGGAGGCAGCTGACCCTGGACCTGCTGAACAGGAGAGGGAAAATCAAACGTGGAATTTTTTCTGGGGAAAATGCCTGCTCACATGGTTTCTCTTCTGATCTGAGAGGTCCGGTTTGATTATGCTCCTCCGTAACGGATCGTTCCAGTAGCATCAACTATCCAGCCTCATCTTAATTACCAAAGCACTTCATATGAATTGTATTAATGCAGAATAAATCAAAAGATTCCAGTAACGCATACCTATATCCCAATTAATTATTCCCCGCCCCAGTCCATAATGTCTCCTCTGTGACTGCAGGGTGGGTTTTTCTTCTCTTTTATTGCACTGTGTAATAATATCTCTGTCTCAGACAGTAGCTTTCACCCTGACTGAGCCCAAACACAAAGATACACACGCACAGAAGTACAAATATATGCATAAGTAGTGAACAGCATAGCCAGTATTATTTTTCTGCCCATATACGTGCACTTATTCATACATTTGAAAGTCTCTGGGATGGTAACAACAACAAAAAAAAAGCAGAGACACTTTATTCACAAATCAAACACAGCTATGTCTGAAGTGTTAGCTATTCAACTTTGCACAGCAACTGTACACAACCATGCAAGTCAGGAAATGGAAAATATTATATTGTAAATGGATACTGCAGGGGACTTAAGACATGCAGAAATTAGTCATCAAAACTGGAAGTTGGCCACAGCACAACGTCTAATACTATTGCTTTTACCCAGTTCTGTCAGTTTTAATGACTAGAAATGGACATCGGCTTCGTATTTCACAGAGGTGAGAAACAAGAAGTTTGCTAAATTAAAATGCTAAATGGTTGGTTTTAATCATAAAACCCCACTGTACTGACCAGATCAGTACCAGGTCTGATTTTTTAAGAAAGGTCATCTCAATTTTTAATGGCACTATAAAGCTGAGGCATTAGAGGTAGCTATGTTATCAAAGACTAAAGTTTAGTTTGTGGTCTCTAGCCTTAAGAAACAGGGAGAATAAGGTGTTGATAGACAACCTTTTTTAGCCAGAATTTATTGCCTGAATAGCAGAACTGGTAAAAGAGAGCTTGTCCCAGCTCCCTGGCTGCCACAGTTCAGACTACAGCATCTTCACTTAATTTGATTTAAATTCAGCCCCCTGAAGATGCAGGAGATGTCTCAGTTCACCCAACATCACTGCAAGGTGGAAGAGTGATAGGAAATTTGGGATGGAAACCTCTTGATTTACGCCAGGACCTGTCAATACCTGTGTGAGTGCTGATTGCATCTTTATGGTCTGCAAGTGTTTGCAAGGACGGAGTTGCAGAGCGCTGCTGATGGAAATCCTTGCACTGGGAGATTAAGATTGGGACTGAAGCTAGAGTAAGTGTAGTTCCTCCCACTGAACTAACTCAATCCACTTTTTGTCACTTCAGTATTCTTTCTATTCTGATCCTATTAACTAGAAGACATACGTACTTTTAACTGGATTGCCGGAGAAAAAATAAAACCATAAAAAATGTGATTTCTTCTCTATCCCCACTCAGTCACCCTAGAACTGCTTAATGTCTGCCTCCTCTTCAAGTGTTTACTTCTTGTTTGTTTTGTTTGGGTTGTTGTTTTTTTTTTTCAAGACAAAGACAAAGTAACTGTATTCTTTTAGAACAAAAATGAACAGCCGTGTGGAATTTTTGCATAGTACTCTTCTTCGGCAAAAAGCCACAGAACTTTTTTTTAAATGGTTTCCAAGGATGAAAGTGACTTTGCCAAGCAAAGAAGCTTCAAAACAGGACTCAAAAACACTAATAGAAAGACAGATGGTTCTACTAAGAGCTTCGCTGCCAAAAAAAATGTTAAAAAAAAAGTGAAAAAAATGGAGTGATGTTATTGAAGCTGACTGCAAAGTTCTCTGATGACTGCAAATACTCTTGTCCCACTGCAAGTGTTAACTCTGCCTCCAGGGCTAATATAACTAAAGCACCACACACACACAAATTGTCATTGCCAAGCCCACAATGTAGCACAAGTCTGCACTTGATTCCAAGTGACTGCCAAACACACAGGCAAAACACCACACTGAAAAATTCCCATTTAGGAAAACATTTACCAGGAAAATGCCCTTTCTTCTTAAATCTGACTGCATTTCATTTTTTTTTTTAAATCGCTGCTCCTCTTTATCTCTCCAAGGGGCCTTATACCCACTAATTTCAAATGACACAACCCCGGTTGTGTTAAGGAGGTAAGAACTATAGAGTGATGAGGATGGTTTGCATGGATACAGAAATAACGCAGTCAAAACAATGTGATTTTCCTTCCAGAATGGAATGTATGTAGCACCACTCAAACAGCTACACTTCATTTTCTCCCAAATACAAATAACTGCAAACATTAGTTTATTTTAATCCGATTACCTGACACAATACGATGCAAATTATGGACTCTTCATTTTTATGGCTCATTTAACTACTACATCTTAACTTTTGTTATGTTTATTATTATTACCTAGAATTGCTAGGATACAACTGTTTCAAGTGGCACAGAATACAGGCCCTCCTTCTGAGTTTTACAGGAAGGGTATTTTCCTTTTTTCTTTTTTTTTTTTCTTCTTTTTTTATAGCTACTACTACGTCAGTTACATCTCTCTCAAATGTTTTTTGTTATACAGTTTACATACTTTCCAATGTTTTCTTGATGGCAACTCTTGATACCGCATTTTGAACTTGAACGTAACAGACTGCAAATCAGAGGTTTTTTTCAATTTGTGGGGCTAAGCCCACACTGGAATGAAAGAATTAAAACCACACCACTTTTAGTTTATTAGAAATAGACATTAAGATTATAAGAAATACTTCCCTCAAGGAAGCTGATACACAAGAGTTCAAAAAGGCCAGGAAAGTAAAGGTTCTCTAATTCATCCTGAGGACAGTAAGCCATCTGCTTTAATGGCAAAGTATTTCAGGAGTGGAAGAAACTGCAACCAAGTTTCACCTACAGCCCAAACCAAAATCAGGGACCCTTCATATTTGTCACTGAAAATCCAGAAAGGAGACTAGCCCTAAAGAACTTACCAATAACAAGACCAATATGAGCACATGACAAGTAAATAATAGTACATCTACTGTCCAAGTGTGAAACTGAGGCATCCAGAGCTGCCCGTAGAGATTTTAGATTTTGGTGAGTGCCTCACTGTATATTTGTTTGAGTGCCTTTGAAAAATCTGCCCTTAAATGACTTATCCTTATCAAAAGAAATTTGTTAGTATACTTGGAGCCGATTCAAGTTCTTGAAGTTTGGGCCAGCATCTTCACAAATCTGTGCATGTCCTTTATGACTTGACCATAACAAATCCAATTGCACAAAGATGTGCATTCAGTGTGACCACAGCTAGATTCTCAGCATTCCCAGCTTCATTATAATTGTAGTATTTCCCCCTAATTTTTGGTCTCCTACCTACTTTTAGGAACATACTATGGTTACCACAGCTACCTAAGCACCAAGCAGTATGTTTTTAGCAGTTACCCCCACTGTTTGTTACTAGCTCCCGCTGTGACTTACATAAATTTAGATTGCAAACACTTGACAACTACAGTTCTACTCTCTTTTCCGTAAAATGTCACGTGTGCTTTGGGACACTATATAAATAGCTACAAAGACAAAATAGTTTAAGGAAACATTAAGGTTGCAAAGTCAGGCAGTCAAGGCTTAGGAAATGCAGAATCAGGATAGCATGCACGACCTTATTTTGGTGCTTTATGTCCAGTCTTTAATTAAAAGTTCATAATTTTTCCCCTCATGTGACTCTTGCTTGATCTAGCAGGCTCATAATTTTTCTCAAGTAACGTAAACCCATACTTTCAACAAATCTAAACCCATAACATAGCAGCTGCTGTTAGTTTTATTTGTTTTATCTTTATACACGTCCACCAATTTCATTTCCGCAGTTGCTCATTACGTGTTTGTTAGCATAAACTTTTATATAAGTTTTCCTCTCTCCAAGGTAAATATTTCAATACATTACCCGGCGTCCATATCTAACACTTTCCACTGATCTTCCACCCGCTCTCATTCTCCCAAAGCAATTCCATCAAAATGGGACTGGTGAGGGAGTAACGAATTACTGGGTGTGAATACGAAGGGCTGCTAAAGGCAACACTCCCTTCTCTACAAACTGATAAAACTCCGAGCAGTACTTTACTCTTGAGCTGTTTAGAAGATGCTCTTCAAGAGCTGTGTGAGCACTTGGCTGAAATGACCTCTTACGTGGCTTGTTCACGTAAAAGTGTGGCTAATTTTTATTTTAATTGGAGCTATTCTCAGCTGCCTCAAAGAAGTTCACATTTTACATTCCTTGAACAGTGGATGTGCATGAATGATTCCTTTAACTTCAAAGTGTTGCATGAATCTCTTCTTGCCTGCGACTTGTTTATAAGTTAAGCATCTCTTCTACTGTATATGAAAGAATGTAACGTACATTTAACATGCAAAAACATAAATCTGTCCTTCAAAAATGACATGTTTAATTGCATCGGTCCCCCTTCCTCCAGAAACACTTGGCTCATGGTGGCGCACACTATGCTAAAGGACTGGATTCTTTAATTAGCATATGTGTTGGCCATCTTTTCCTTTCTCTCCCCACCCCCCCCAATCTATCTTAAGGGAAATAAAAATATATGTCCTCATATAACTACAATCTGCTATTTTCCCTTACAGTGACGTTTAAAATAAGAAAAGAAAATGTTGTTCTCTTCATTCTCTCCCCAACATCAGCTCCCTGAATTGACATAAGTGTGTCCTCAATCTATACGGCAGGGAGAGCCTTGCCTCCCCGGGTAACGTAATGATCCCTCTCCTGCCCAGTTTGAGGTGGCTTTTTATGGGGTGCTTAGGGAGTGATTATGACACAAAACAGAGGATGCCAAGAAGCAGAGATGCAGAGAGGAAGACACCGATGAGACAGACAGTTCACCCATTCTCGCTTTTACTACTGGGCAGCAGCTCACTCACACTGCTATAGGGGCATACCAGCATAGGGGATCCCAACAAAG